TTGTTTACTTTAATTTTACAACAAGAATCACAAATCTAAAAAATATTTAATCGTGAAAAATAAATTATTAAAATTTATTTAAAATAAAGTAAAGTATCTGATTTAGATATTTGTATCTTACTCCATCGTTTGTTTTTCTCTCATTAAAGATTAGTTTAACTTTGGATACAAAAAAATATAAAAAATAACGAAAGTGGGAAAAATAACTAAAATTATATAAAAATTAATGAAATAAATTAAGTAATCAGAAGAAATTTACCTAAAAGTGGTAATAAGAAATAAAATAGAAATATAAGAAGTGACGGGTTTAACACTTTACACACTATACAGAATATTAATGTACCAATTCTTCTTTTTCTTAGGAAATTATCAAGAATAATATCAACATTACCCGTTCTTTCAAAAAATATAAAGAGTGGTGAGTTTAACATTTTATATCTATTTTCTTTTGATTACCATATTTATTTCATAAATTATAAAGATCATAAATTTGTTTCAAAAAGTAAAAAATGTAACCGTTTTTGAGGCAAAAAAAGTGAGATTTTTTAATAGAGGGAAGAGAGGGAGTAATGAATAAGATAAAAATAATGAGCACACTTTTGGAAAATAATCATGTGGCCCTCACATACATTAATAAAATACAGTATGAATTATGATCTATCTCCATTATCTTTAATTAATAATTACTTTATGTAGTCCCATGTTACATCAAATTCCATAAAAAGATTTAAAACATTATATATAAGATCACTAGTGATATTACTTATTTTGAGATCTAGTTTTCTTTTAACAACAATAGTGTACAATGACCTAAATCACAATGGCCTTTTACCTTTTACTTTTCTTATAGAAACTACACCAAAATGGCGACATGTTACCTGGCTAGTTACAAAACATTAAGTAATTTTTATTTAAAAAATTATTTGCATTCACTTACTATTGTAGAAAAGATATAGGGAAAGACTGGAAATGGATCGGATAAACTTAACAATAATTTCTTATAGAAATACGCTTGGTAGTTTAATTAATCTCATACTCATTTTTCAAAATTACACTGCATTTACATTACATCCCAAATTTTTAAAAACAGCACAAGTTTTATCGATTGTAACGCGTAAACTGAAACAGTGAAGATTGACACTTTCTTCGTGTGGCGAAGAGTTTATTGATATACACATGAAGTACACTTTTAGCATACTCTTAGTATTTTTGTTACAAATTTAACTTATTTCCATTTGTAGTCGGCGTGAAACGGAGATAAGAGAAAGCATTAATTTTGAAGTGGTTGTTTGAGTGTTATTAACTTGATTATATTACACATGATGTAATATCTGACATATAATAACTTACAATGAGCTAATGCATCTCTTTCTGCTTCGTTGATGCTCGAAACCTTGTGGACATTTTCATGAACCTTGAAGAGTTGATTTCTTACCAAGACGAAAAATTATACTCTCCAACTAAGATGTGAGGAAAAAACAACTCAATCACAAGGAAAATGAGGTGATTGAAATAAATAAAGAAAAAATCTTGAAAATTTATCCCAAAATAAGAGTAAATATAGAAAAAATATTAAAATATGAGCTTCTTGAAAAATTATCCTATACTCCTTCCGTCCCAAATTATTTGCCACATTTGCTTTTTTAACAGTCGCGGGAACTTTTGTTTATTTCTATGTTTTCACTGGTTATTTGATAAAATAAAATATTCTTGACACTTCTTATTTCGAAGAACTTTTCATGTAGTTTTTTGATATGTAATTTTTATTTTTTATTTATTTATCAATATGTAAATAAAATGAATTAAAAAAACTTGATATTTTGCCTCAGTAATAGAAATGTGACAAATAATTTGGGACGAAAAAAGTATATAATTAGAAACCATTTATAAAATTTAGTCAATTATCTATGAAAACACAAATCTTTTTATCACTCCATCCAAACAAAACCTATCCGAGTCCATCTCTTACTCCGTAATTTTTTTATTTTCAAAGGTTATTTTGTCGTTCGTGAGGTGTCAGTGTCAGGGGACATATTGATGGGGACGGGTCCATATGCAATTAATGGGACCAGACGGAGATGGTGGGACCCGTTTAGCCGTTAAATGAGTCATCGACGAGTTTCCGGCGAGTCAGCGTCGCCGGCGGGATCAATGGGGTGTCAATACTCAATACTATCGTAATTATCTTGGGGACCACACCAGTGGACGTTTTAACCCACTCATTTTTGTTTTTGTTTTTGTGCTTACTTTGTTTTCATCTACACCTCGTAAATTATTGAGTTTGGCCCCCACTTTTGTCGTGCATGGCAATTTGATAAGTTCTCCCACATTGGTTCTATTCCCTTCCTTTGTAATTGACGTGTCAAATATGACTTATTATATATACTCTTCGTCCCTAAATAGATTATAACTTTTTTTTATCTCCATAATTTTTGTTTATTTACGTAATTTCATTAAGTACTTAATGAAATAAAATATTTTTATCACCTCTTATTTTGTAGAATTTTTGACGTAGTTTTTTAATATGTAATTTTTATATCTTATTGATATACTAATTTGTGAATAAAATGATTTTAAAAAGTAGGAAGTTTTACTCGTAACCCGCAATTAGTAATCAAATTAGGAACAGAGGGAGTATAAAAATAAACACTTCCTCTGTCCCATAAAGATAGGGACAGTTTGACTAAAATGGTAAAATAAAGAGACATAATTTCGCATTGATTTTTCAAAAATATTCTTGAAGTGATGGGTAGAGTATGAAAAAATATGGGATAAAAGTGATTTTTTAATAAAAATGGAAGAACTTTTAGGGACAAAATATTTTTAAAACGTGAAGGACTTATTGGACGGAGGCAATATTTTTTTTATTTGAGAACGTTATTTCCGTATTGATTTGGCACACCTATTAAAGAGTAGTAAATTAAAAAATGTACATACTATAAATTTTTAAATCTCCTTTTCTCATTAAAAAAGTAGATCAGTGATAAAATAGAAGAATATTATTAAAATTTATTGTTAAAAAGTATACTGAAAAAGGAAATAGGAAGAATATTTTCGGACGGGCCGAAAAAGAAAGGAGAGTAATAAATTACCCCCTCCGTCCCAAAAAACCTTTCTCCTTTCTTTTTTCATCCGTCTTAAAAAAACACTTCTCATTTCTATTAAAAAGTCACTTTTACCCCTTACTTTTTCATACCCTACTTATCACATCATACCTTTTTACTAATAATCTATCCATCAAATCATACTTTTACTAATCACATCAAAGGACATTTTTGGAAATTCAATACCAAAATACACTCCCCTTAAATCCCTCTTCAAAACCAAAACTCCCATGTTTTTCGGGACGAAGGGAGTATAATATAGAAATTCTATCAAACTTTGGCATCAAAAAATTCTTTTAATGTATAGTTCTTAATATTTTTACTAACATACTTTAAGAAATATTACACAAACTTGATGGAAATCAAACCCGAACTAACCAACAATTCGTCAGCTCTATGGTCTACGTACTCTATTTATTCATTTTCAAATGGTGATTATAACTTCTTTGTATTATTTAAATGTGTCTGAAATTTTAGCGTCATCCACTATTTTATGTAATAAACATTATTGTTAAAGAGTTTGGAAGTTCAAGTACGTTAATTTAAAAAAGAATTTATGTATTTTAAATCTATGCTTTAAGAAAATTCCTTATTAGATTTTTCATATTCAGAGTCTAAGATACGTAACATTCACATGTATAAATTGCACATTCAAATTTTAGTGAATGTAATGGGCTTATAATTAGGATATGTCTGGGTGTTGTAGCTATTAAAAATAACATGTTTATGTTTAATGAAATCATCATAAAAAAAAGAAAGTCGAAATCATAATTTGATGATGTTTTTTATGACATTGTTTTTGGTTGCTATTTGGTATGTTGCAGTGCAACCAACTATATGTTCGACATGATTGTTTGTGAGGTTGGTCGCATAGTCGCGCCTCAGGCCGTCATATCTGTTTCTGAGGTCGGTCGCACAGTCGCGCCTCAGTCCGTCATATCTGTTTGTGAGGTTGGTTGCATAGTCGCGACTCAGTACGGCTACACATCATCTAAGTTTTAGATGCTCGTTAGTCGTCCCCGTGTCACCACGTGGGAGTCATTCATCATCAATTTTTTTGTTGTTCGTTGGCTCAGCCAGTTGCATTCATCCGTTATTGGCATAACAAATCAAAGTTTTATCCAAGTTATTTATCGAGTTGTTTTTCTTTAGTCATAATTTTATTGTTCAAGCTGTTCATTCGTGATCTTCATTTTTAACTTCAAGAAAACTTTTAGGATATGTCTTAGGGTTTGATAGCAACGGGCCAAAGTAATGGACTTGTAATTAGGTCAATGTCATGGTCCTGTAGATATTATAAATAGCATGTTTATGTTTAATGAAATTATCGAATTCAGTTATAATAATATTTCTACAATTACTCTCTTTGTACCATGAAGATCTTTATGTTTGTTATTTACATGGTCAACCATTTTTCTTCTTTCTTTTCATTTTTCGTTGCATATTTGACAAAATAATATAGTCATGTAATGTCATCTCTTGTGTTGAAAAGCTTTTGATATAACTTTAAATATATAAATTTATTTTTAAATTTTATACCAATATTGAAATAAAATAATCGAATTGGAAATGGCTTCATCCAGTCATTGTAAATCGTAACGCGAAGTTTTTTTTGGAACATATGAGTAAATTTGTATAGTACCAACTAAATATTATGGAGTATTATGACTTCAACTTTCTTTAATTCTGTTTACTGAAAAAGTCCCTATTAATTTAACGAACCAAATAGAGTGTTAAGATTACTTCCAGATCAATATTAAAATCAAATTAAAGCATTCATTCTTCAATTTTCTCTCAAGGAGAAATAAAACAGTTTATGTCGAAACACACAAAAAGAAAAAAAAAAAAGGAAAAGATGAAGTAAAGGAACAATCGTCCTCGCGGTGAGTACATGTGGAAGGATAACTTGGATTATTACTAAATTTTGGGAAAAAAAGAATCAGAGAATGGGATCAACTAAGACAGAGGTGATAATGGCCTTAAGCTCTGAGGAATGGGTATATTTATCTCCATCATCATCGTAAAGCATTTCAATGACTCTCGCAAGATTCACAACTCGGATGAGTATGGGCATTGGGAACACAGCAAATGGCTTAAGACATTCCTTGCTAATGTCTTTCCACGCATCACTCACCTTTTCTTTTAGCTGATCTTTCACTGTCTCTTCTTCTGTCTTCCCGTATTGCTTCATGTAGCTCTCCACTGCTGAATCCACATGCCCTCTTTCCTGCTCAAACTATATAGATAGATACATACAACACATAATTAAACACATACTATATATATTATTAATATCAGATGGTAACGGTAATCTCAATTCAAATTAAAGCTTGTTTTTAAAGATCGAGGTATGATAACAAGCTAAGTCTAACTCAAAGGTTAAGCGTTCAAGTTTCACAATCACTAATTCAGTACCTTGTGTCCAACAATGTCGTCTCTTAATCTACAGATGATTGTAGAAGCTCGGACAATCAAAGGATCCCCAGTCAACCAATCAAATGCCTCTTTAGTAATGAAATCCTCTGGCATGCCTACTATAGAAGTTGTTGCCAGCATCATATAACCACAAGTTCTAAGTGCAAGCTTCATGTACTCATCAAATGTTGGGGTTATTAGGATGCCGGAGTCTCCCTGATGGGCCAGGCCATTTACCTCGCTGGGCTTGGTTGGGCTCAGCTTTTATTGGCCACACCCTCCACAAGCCATATGGGCGGGCCAATGCGTTGTGCGTGTTTGCAGTCTACGCCGTTGTGTCCTTCCTCACAATTGTGCTTGGGCCGCTCTAAAAAGACGTTTTCTTTTAAGGAATATTTATTGTGCTTCCATGAATAATGGTTTTGGCCACCCTTTTCTTTTATGAACCAATAATTTTAACCCTAATATATTTCAATGAGCAATAATATGAACCCTAATATAATTTTATGACTATGGAGTAATTTTAATATATTTCTTTATTTAAATATATGAATCATTATATTATTATTCAAAGAAGTTATAATATTTATTAATTAAAAACTCAACATTGTATACATAATTTTTAAACTATCTACAATTTATATAATTTTATTACTTCTCAAAAAAAACTATTACATAAATTTACTCCATAGTCATCTTTATTAACTACAAAATATGTTTCAAAAATATTATCATCTTACATCATTTATTTTGTTATATATATTTTCAACAAACGGAAGTTCGTTTTATAGTAGAATAACATGTGACAGGTGCTATCTATGCATTATCTAATGATGTGTCATTACTTCAACACGTGAATAGAAATCAACTTTACAAAAAGAGGGAGTAATACTTAGTTACTTACTACTAGACACAAAATACCCTTGTTGTCTAAGAAGGCGAAAGCGTAGAGAAACCGCATAAAGATCATTATTCTCCATCACGTCTTTGGCGTTGAGATCATCGTAGACCTCATATATGCGTTCCAGTGTTGCTTCGATCTCCTTCTCGAAACGGTAACCCACTCCTAACCGCTGGATGTTGTTTATCATCAACTCCAACTTTTGAGGATGATGAGTTTCTAAAAACATGGTTTTCACTGCTTCCTTGAGCTGTTGATGCTCTTTCACTTCTTGTGTATCTCCTCCATCTTCCTGAAAACATATATATGTATATTTGATACAAAACTTTAATGAACTTGTTAGACAATAATAATAGTATTACTTGTGGTAGTATTGGTTGTGGTAGTGTTTCATTATTAGTAAGTTTCATATTCCTATTTATGGCAGAAGGTATATTTTAGTTAGTTATCATTTTATATTTCTAATTGTGTTAGAAGTCTCTCCTATATATACGCTATCATGTACTTCATAAATCAATGAGCAATATTATTCTAATATTTCAACATGGTATCGGAGCCACTGCTTTTGGTGACCTAAAAGAGTTGTTTGCTTCCACCGCCAGCGCCTGTAATTCCGGCAACGGCGGCACCACTTCATTCACATCTATTTTCTTTTCCTTCTTTTATCCTCAAATTAACTTCTCCATTCCAAAAAAAGAAAAACAATTCCCATGTTGAAATCACAAAAAAACTGTCAAAGTAGGAGCTTCCCTCTTGTCGTCTCCATGGTTCTTCCAACAAAAAAAACCGCTGAAGAGAAACATGACCTCAAAATCCACAACTGCTCCACCATCGGCTTAGCCTGGATCTCATTTACCCTCGACCCGATGTGTTCCTTTAATTTTTCAGATCGGAAACTCCTAATAATAACCTCTCTCAACTAATCATCATATCTTCTCAAAAAAGGAAAAAAAACAATAGTTGTTTCTCTCCAATTCACCATATCAAAATCTCAGACCCAAATCTTTTTTCCATCACCAATTCTTAACCTACTTTTTCCTCTCTCGAATCACTCATTCTAATCATCAACCTCCATTTTCTTTCTATTCTGTTGAACCAATAAAAATCCAAAGTAAATCCGCACAAAAGCAAAGCCAAGAGGGGAGGTAGTGAAAGAGAAAAAGAATCCCTCTACAACTCACCCATTCAAGAAGGAAATAGGGCATTGCCCGGATCCAAGAAAAAGACAAAGAATGTCAAGGATCTTCAATCAAACAGACACCTCCAATAGCCTTCTGTGTTCTTTTTCGACGTCAGCAACTACAAGCGCACGTCAACCCTTTCTCTCTTCTTCAAAGACGTTAGCACCTACCAGCGCACGTCAGACTTCTCTCTTCTCCAACGACGTTAGCAGTTCCAGTGCACGTCAACTTCTCTCTTCTCCAACGACATGAGCAGCCACCAGCGCACGACAAACTACTCTCTTATCAAAGTTTCAGTTTCTAGCTAGTCTCCAAGCTTCCTCTTGCTTCAGGCGGAGTTCAGCTTGAGGGGGATGTTACTTATGATAGTATTAGTTGTGGTAGTGTTTCATTATTAGTTAGCTTCCTAATCCTATTTGTGCTAGATGTTGTATTTTAGTTTGTTTTCATTCTCTATTCCTAGTTATGTTATGAGTCTCTTCTATTTATACTTTATCATTTACTTCATCATTCAAGGAACAATATTATTATTCCAATATTTTCAACAGAACTAAATTACTTCCAATATCATTACACGGTGAAATAATCTTATTTTGAGATAAAAACATGGAACTACCATGTTGATAATAACATGAAGATTCAATTACAAATGATTTATTTTTTTGGGTGAAATTAAATTGTTTGTTATTACTAATTATATATGTATATATATACCTTTTGTGGAGAAGCATATGAGAGGAAAAAGTTTCCCCAGATGCTTGGATGAAAATTTGCAGAGCGACGGGTAATAGCTTCATCTTCACGCACTAGCTGAGTTTGGTCGGAGGTTGATGATGACAATGGTGGAATATTAATGCTATTATTGGCAGCCATTTTTGTTTTGTTTTGAAGTAGCCTGGAATGGAGAGGGACACAAACAATTTAAGAATACGTTGCTTAAGTTTGGTGGTGTGCCCTATTTAATTTATACTAAGAGAGTAAGAATACTCCCAACAATACTCCCTATTTCAGGATAAAATCATGAAATTTTTATTTTGATATACTTTCAATATTTTACTACTATTTTAGTTTTTTGCTGGAAAAGATATTGAAAAGATTTTTTCCAGAAAAATTGAAAAGATATTTGAGAAAATCTATAGGGGATGAAGGTAGTAATTCATTATACTCTTGTTAAGAAAATTAAAACTTGGGAGAAAGATCAAAGTAGGACTAAAATATTGAAAATATACCAAAATAGGACTTCCATGTTTTTATTCCCGAAATAGGACTTACATTACCATACATGGTCATATACATTACCAAAAACGTATAGTAATTTGCACATGTACACTGCCACATTACAACAGGGCAAAGTCACATTACCACAGTGCAAAGTCCTGTTCCAGGGAAAAAAATATGAAAGTCCTATTTTGGTACTTTATACTATATTTTAGTTCTATTTAGGGTGATTTCTATTAAAACTTATGGCTACCCCAATATTTTCTCACCTTAAAGCTAAGATACATGGACGGGAAAGGTTAATTAATTGGTTAATCATGCATTTAAATTAACGGTGGGGTTCTCATGACATTGGAATCCCATGTCATAGGATGACTCGGGACGCTCCAGTGTTCCGTTTATAAAATTGACGATTTCTACCCGCTCTAGCTCCCCAGTAAATCCTCATCCCGTGCCAACCCGAACACACCCCCACCCCCTTCAATTCCACCCCATAAGTTGATTTTTATTTTGGAGTCAAAATTTGACTTCAAAGTCAAAATCAACTTGTGTGGTGCAATTGAAGGGGATGGTGGATGTGTTCGGGTCGGGACGGGGTGGGGGGAGTTTACCGGGAGGGTCAGGGGAGAAGAAGGGGTAGAAACCATCAATTTTACGAACGGAGCACCGGAGCGCCCTCGTGTTATCCCATGACATTGCCCGGCAATGTCATGGGAACCGCCCCTAAAACGGGTCAATTGCATGTCATCCAAGCATGTTGAAATTTTGCATTACCTGTTTAATTATGAATTGAAATTAAAATCTGGAATTCTTGTAAATAAAAGTTTTAATTACTCTGTCTCCCTCCATTTAGTTTCTACTTAAAATAAATCTTTTAATATTTTCTTTTATCTCACTCGAATATTTATGTACACTATCACAGAGCTTTATATATTTTATTTTCATATTTTCGTTAATTATTTGATAACATAATATAATCATGTCACATCTAATTTTGTACGGGGTAGATCTTTTGGTATAGTTTTTTAATATATAATTTTTTAATTTTATAACTTACAATCAAATTAATTAAATTGAAAATAAAATTAGTTAAATATTGAAACGCAGTCTAGAAAGGTTCGAATGGGATGGAGAGAGTATTAAATTTATAACATAATTCAAAAAAATGAACTCACTTCATGTGATGTAAGATTACATTTTAAATTAAAAGCCGGAAGTCCGGTAATGTGTGGAAAGTGTGATGCCAAATACTCCACATATCTATCACTCTACAAAGTTTAATTAGATAAACTTTTAATGCGTTTATTCCGGTAATGTGTGGAAATTTGATGCCAAATAAACTGCTTAGAATGATGCCAAATACAAAGTCTTTTTTTCGTTTAATTACTACCACAATGCGGTTATTCCGGTAATGCGTGGAAATTTGATTTTTAAGAGAAACGGTAATACTCCTTGACTTTAAATTAAATATAATTTTAAATACGTAAATATTACAAAAATTTGACATATTAAAACAACATTTTGAAATAAAGTCAGTTATATTTAATTTACATTATAATTGAAAATAATTTATCTTTTTGGGGTGAAATTTATGCATTTCCATGTAGGCAAAGACTTTAGGTTCACAGTGCACCTATAGATGAGGTTGATAAGCATTTGCTTAATGTTGAAATAATCATTTTTATTTTTATTATTATAAAAATTAATTTTTACCTGAGAAGGTTCACATATCTTTTTCGAACGTTAGGTGCACTAAAGAAACACCGTAAGAGGTCAATCAAGCATGTTGCTTTGTTGCATTATTACCAGTTTAATTATGAATTGAAATCAAAAGCCGGAATTCTTGTAATTTAAAACCCTAATTAGTCTCTCTATCTATTTACTTTCTCTGTCTATTTACTTTCTACTTGACTTTTTATCGTATGTAATGCATGTATTAGTATTTATACTCTGAATATAGGTATGTACGAGTATATGTTATAAAAAAATTAAACTCTATCAAAGTATTTGTTCATTTTAATTTTTTGGAGTTGAATTGCATAAACTTTACCTATTAATTAAATTAAAATTCTTTTGGATAATAATACAAAAAATGATTTTATTGTATTTAACTCATGTAAACTATCAAACTCTATTTCAAAATTATTTTTCAAAATAAATTTATTAATTTCAAATTTATATTGTAACCCAATCTATTATTTTAATAGTCAAACTTTAATTGATTACGAAAAGTGAAATAAGAAGAAAAAAATTTGGGACGCGCATAAGTAAATGTTTCTTGAGCTAAAAGCCGGAATTCTTGGAATGATGCCCGATACTCAGTAGTCCGTAGTCCGCTCCACATTTCCACATACTTAATTCTGAATATTCTTTACATTTGATTTTTCTTTATCAAATTTTGTAAACTTTGACTCCTCTATATAGAAAAAATATATTGTATTACAATATAAATTTAACATAAATATATTTCTATTGAAACGTAGTTTTCAAATATCAATTTTTTTATAAAATATATCTGTGTATAAATATATATCAATGGTTAAAGTTCAATATTAAAGATTGTAAAAAGTCAAATGTGAAGAATATTTTCCGACGGAGGGAGTCCAATAATTCCTACATCAGTCTCGTAATAAATGTCACAATTTGATTTTTTAAAGTCAATTTATAACACTCTTTCATTAGAAATTAAATATGATTTTAAATACATAAGTGTTACGGAGTATAAAAATTTGACATATGAAAACTACATTTTAAAATTAATTCAATTATATTAAATTTACATTATAATTAAATATATTTTTTACAATGTGTAGTCAACAAACCGTGTCATTCATTTTCGGACCTAAGCAATACTTCCTCTATACCTAAATCTCCTTATTGTTTGAACTTTTATGGGGTTGAAGGAATGAAAGAAATTTTTTGTGTTGACTTTCCCAAACAAATTTTAAGTGAATGAGTAAAAGTATGATATGATTGATAGATAATTAGTAAATATGTATAATCTGATAGATAGGGAAAAATTGATAGAGATAAAATTAATTTTTTAATAGAAAAGGAAAAAAGAACGGGACCAAAAAAAGACATGGAGGGATTGCGTCTCAATCTATGTAAACTACAATAAATAAATTCAATCTAAATCGCCTTTAAAAAAATCAATCTAAATCACGTTCGATTATATTCCCGTTTTATTAGTTTTATGTTGTTTTCTCCAAATTTAAATCAACTGTTTTGGTTTACACTGTTTGACAGAAGTTATTTTTAATACAATTTATTTGAGAATTGGGATAGAATTAAAAAAATAAAATTTACATATTCAAAAACGACATAAAAACAAAACTATAGAAAACTACATAAAGAAGTGACATGACTATAACATTTTATCTAATAAGTAATGAAAATATTAATAAAAATCGAATAAAATTTGATCATGTAAATAGTATACATGTAATTTATTTTGGGATGGGGGAGTACCTTTTTTCCCGACCTGGTCAGAGATATAGCTTGACTCTACCTAGAACCTTAAAACTTTGTTGGTCACATAGATACAAATATGGGATATGCTAAGGGTACACCAAAGTGTACCCCAAATGTACACCACCACTCTCTTTACCATTCATTTTATTTTGTTTTTAATTTTTATTTTTTTTTTAATTTTTCTTGCTTTTTTTTTGTGGTGATGGAGAGGGTGGGGAATGTTTGGGGTACACTTTTGGTGTACCCCTAGCATTTTCCTACAAATATACAATCCGTGTACTATATGATCCCGATCTATCCAAATGTTAATATATTCCTGATCTAAAGTAGGGTGTACGTGAGAACGCCCCTAAATAATACGGAGTATAATAAGATTAGAGCTGGAAAAATGCTCGGTCAAGTCGGGTTCAGGTTCGATTATCTTGGGTTCAAGTTACTTCGGGTTCATGTAAGTTCGGGTTTGAGTTGGGAGCTACATGTTCATGACCCAATGTCATCGGGTTCGGATCGACCCAACGGGGTATGACTTTCATTTATTTTTTTGAAATTCTAAGTAATTTTTATAACCGATTATCAATATTACGAATAAGCTAAATATGCAGAAAATTTTGAAAAAAGTAAGATAATTATGCGATATCATTAAAATTTTGTATGAAAATATCAATTTATACATTAAAAATGAGTAGAAAGCAAAGAAATATAATTAAAGTCTAATTTTTATAACATTATATTACATATTAAAGCATATTATTTGAAAAATTCTCACATTAGCGAGTCGGTCAGGTCGGGTTTGGATTCGATCGGGTTTGATCCATTTTTAATGGGTTGGGCTCGGTCAGCAAAACTTTTGTTCAAAATCCAGTATTTTTAATGGTTTGGGTTAATATTTTAAATTCTCTTTTTGGCATTTTTTATATTTTTATTGTTTAATTTTCATTTGTTTAGCTTAGTTTTTTTTTAACTCTTATTTTTACAAATTTTTTATTCTCATTAAAAGATAGTAGTTTTTTTTAAATCATTATTTATTTATTTATTTTTTCATACCTAAATTTTCAGATATCTTATTTTTTTGGTCTTGTTTGGATGTTAGCTGTCAGCTGTTGGCTGTTGGCAGTTCGTGCCAGCTGTTGTGAATGACTATTTAGTTCAGCTGGTTTGACCGGCAGAATGAATTGACTGATTGTTAAAAATGTTTGGTAAAACTAACTGTTTGGAAATAGTTATATATATATATATATATATATATATATATATATATATATATATATCTGTGTGTGTGTGTGTCTATATATATATATATATATATATATACATATATATATATATATATATATATATATATATAGACACACACTTACACACATGATATTTATTTTTCATTTTTTACATGTAAAAATTAAATCTTTACTATATGGAGTATTAAATTTTACTTTCATTTAATTCATAATAAATTATTAATATATAACTTTTTAATGATTTTTACTTTTTATTTTCTCATTTCATCTTTTTGAAATTTTTATTTTTTATTTTTTTCAGTATTTAATTTTTTTAACTTTTATTATTATTTTTAGTTTTTACATATATTATAAAATATCTTTCATGAAAAATGACTTTAAAAAAATTAATTTTCCTAACAGCCAAGTCCAATTCTTACTCTCCATGGCATTTCAGATTTTGGCGTTTCGGATCAAAATGCCAAACGGAAAAGCCATTAGCCAAACAATGATTTTGGCTGTTCGCTCAGTCAAAAAAGACAAAGTCAGTCAAACATGTCAAAAGCTATCTAAAAAGTCATTTTTGAAACAAGGGCTTTGTGAAGAAAGAGAGAAGTAAAATGTCAAATTGAAGTTCAAGTTTAAAAAGAAAGATTAAGTTTGGACTGGAGTCCAAACCCATCAACAACAACCCAATAAAACAAAAATAAGCCCCAAGTCTCCTTTCTCCAATTCAAACTCACGCAAGAAACGCAAGAAGAAAAGAGAAAAAATGCCTCCTTCCATTGAAGCTAGCGCAAGACCAGGAGCATTCAAGAGGAGCAGCAACCTATTCAAATCGGCAATAACGCCTCTCCTTCAATTCAACGTTCAGCCATAAATTTTGCTCCAAATCAAGTCTCTACGCTCCTTCAACGTTCAGCCATAAAAGTTCAAACACGATTAGTGTCTCGTTTCCTTTCTTTAAAGTGTTTTAAAGAAACACTGATACTGCATTGTTTTCAACTTTTGCAGCTTGTGTTTATGCGATTAAGAAGCGGCAGAGTAATTGGTGAAGAAAGCAAAAGTGAAACAGGTAGTAATAGCGACCAGGTAAGTGAGACTGAACCTTCTTTTAATTTAGATAATCTTGTAGAATTGTTTGGGTCTGCTCTTACCATATCTGAAATTACACCTGTGAGTGTATGTGTGCAAAACATAAGTGAATCTGATTTTAAAGAATTAATTTAATAATCAAGCTAGTTCTAGGATGGCAGCCCCTAACCGAACTCTTGGAGAATTAGCTGTGCTCCTGACTTGACCATTCAACCCATTTCCATCACTTATGGTGAGTTTGGAAAAACCCCTTAAACTTAATTCTGGATTTCTCAATTTACTTCCTAAGTTTCATGGTGGATCCTTTTAGGCATATATCTGAATTTATGGTGCAATGGTGCCTGAAGGAGTCTCTCCAGACCAAATTAGGCTTAGAGCCTTTCCTTTTTCCCTTTCCGATAAGGCCAAAGATTGGCTTTACTATATGCCAGCTGGATCTTTCACCACGTGGAATGACCTTCATAAAGCTTTTCTTGAAAAATTTATTAACTTTATTGGGGCTATTAAGACCCCTAATGTTCCATCCACCTATCATTGGAGGAAAGGATAATGTCCCTTATAAGGGGCTTCAATTAAATCCTTATTCCGTGATATATGACTTTATCATTATCCCATTGCTTATTTCTTCTTTCTGCCTTCTTTTTGCATCCCTTCTTTAATAGAGAGGGTGCTCCCAATCGAGCATTAGACGAGAGAGATTTCTTCAATTGTGACGAAGATGGTGTATTAGATTTGATCGTAATTGAACCGGTTGCAGATTGCTTCTTCGGTCTCCCTCTCCCCTGTCATGGCTAGAGAGAAGTTTTACCGATTTAGATTATGTTTATATTCTATCAATACTTAAAATTTTCACACCTCTCATTTTTTCTTATTTAACACTTTTAATTGGGGTCCTTAATATTTTTACCCTTTTTGTTTTCATTGTTTTCATTTATTTCAAAAGGACTTTCTCATTTTTTTTCCATTTCTCTTGTTAAAAAAAAAGTATGTGATGATTGTGGTCTAAATACTTCATTATTTTTTAAACAAAATCTAATGGTCTATTTTTACTATTCAACATTACTTAACGTTATTTAAATTTTCATGAGGTAAAAGTGAACAAATTAATTTCACGTAGAGTAAGTATTTTTACCTAATTCAAGATCCAAAAGAAAATAAAAAAGTTCGTGGTTCTAGATCAAAATCAAATCAACTTTGCAAACTTTGGGAACTAAATAGTTCATTATTCAATTGCTTGAGAGCAGAAATAGATCAAGTCGTTCAGACAAACAACAAAACAAGAAGAAAAGCAAAATAAGACTCTCTGATGTGTTCAAAATGAATCAGAGAATGGGATCAACCAAGACAGAGGTGATAATGGCTTTAAGCTTTGCGGAATGGGTATATGAATCTCCATCTTCATCATAAACCAGCTCAATGACTCTTGCAAGATTCACAACTCTGGTGAGTATGGGCATTGGGAACAAAGCAAATGGCTTAAGACATTCCTTGCTAATGTCTTTCCATGCATCACTCACTTGTTCTTGCAGCTCTTTCACTGCCTCCTCTTCTGTCTTGCCATATTGCTTCATGTAGCTCTCCACTGCTGAATCCACATGCCCTCTTTCCTGCTCAAACTACACATATATACACACAATATATATTTATATCATCAAGTAATCAACTATATATTTATATACCTACTATATATCTATATACCTTGTGTCCTGCAATGTCATCCTTCAATCTACCAATAACTGCAGAAGCTCTGACAATCAAGGGATCCTCACTCAGCCAATCAAATGCCTCTTTGGTGATGAAATCCTCCGGCATGCCTACCAATGATGTTGTTGCCAACATAAGATGAGCACCTGTTCCAAGTGCAACCCTCATGTACTCGTCAAACGTTGGTGTCTCGCCCACGTGGAACCACTTCGCCTCTTCGTGGTACGCACCCACGAGTTTTTTCATCTCAGTTTTCGCGTAGTTGACGCGGTCTGATTCCCCGTCGCGTCTCTCCATCTTGGCATACGCCTCGAGGAACGCATCGTAGACGATCTTCATGTATTCAGGTAATTCCTCTGCAACACTGGCATCCAACCTGCATGCATTCATTAAAAAACCACTTTTACCCCTTACTTTTTCATACCCTACCTATCACATCATACTTTTTTTCTAATAATCTACACATCACATCCTACTTTTACCCATCATATCAAGGGTGTTTTTGGAAAGTCAACACAAAATTACCCCTTCTTTATTTTGCCACTTTAGTCAAATGTCATTCCCTTTTTGGGACATTGCGTGGCTAGTTTTACGTACCTTTGGAAAGCGTCGGTGAATAGCTGGAGCTCGTCGGGGGTTCCATAAACATCATAGATATCATCAAGGATTGAAGTGAGAGAAATGATTTTGAGGAAAAACTCTCTTGCAGCACTATAATGTGGTTCAAAGAACACTCCCAATGTCCACAAATAGCACTCCACCAATCTGTCTCTAGCAAATGACAGCTTTTCTGCTGCTCCCAAGTCTTTCCACCACCTTGTAAGATTTCCTAGCTCCCTCTGGTGTTGCTTTTGGAGGATGTTGAAGTCCAGTTTTGCAAACTTTAAGAGGACAGAGTCATGAGACTCATCAAGCTGGTAAAACTGTATGTATTCCACAGCATCAATCCTTGTTAGCCTTCTCCAGATTGGGAGTTTGAGTGCTTTAGTGACATGAGATCTCAGGGTCGGGGCCATGCTTGGAAGCATCGATTGCAGGTGAGAAGTTGTGAATCTCAGGGCCTCGTCCAAAATCTTCTCCCCGTGAACCCTAACATGCGACGCCTCGTACAAACTTAGCATTGCTTCAACGTTGCCGGTCAACGATTCCTTAAACTTCCCATCACTTTCCGTGAATTTCTCAAAAATGCCTGCGCGCGATAAGCAAGCATGCAATTATATACCCCATACGTCCCAGAAAAAGCTTTATGTTTCTGACTTTTTTTGGTCAAACAGTGACACTCTTTGATCGCAGATAATGAAAAAGACTACGGAGTTTTAGTGCTATTTAGTGCAAATATTTCTTTATTTATAATGTAAATTATTCCAACTTTTAATTATAGTTTTTCCAAAATGCTAAAGTAGTACTAGTAGTAGTGATTAAATCACTTAACACTTACTGCTAGATACAAAATACCCTTGTTGTCTGAGAAGGCGAAACCGGAGAGAAACCGCAAAAAGATCGTTATTCTCCAGCATGTCTTTGGCGTTGAGATCATCGTAGGCCTCGAACACGCGTTCGAGTGTTGCTTCGATCTCCTTCTCGAAATGGTAACTCACTCCTAACCGTTGGATGTTGTTGATCATCATCTCCAACTTTTGAGGAGTTTCTGTGATGAACATGTTTTTCACTCTTTCCTTCAACTGTTGATGCTCTTCTAGTTCTGGCATATCTGCATCTTCCTGCATATTCCAATTCACATGAATATGTGTTGCTTAATTATGCAATTTAGTTGTAGAGTATAATGAAGAAGTCATTATAAACTGTAGGTAAATTAAAATATTGGTATTGTTTGTTTACCTTTTGTTGAGAAGCATATGAGAGAAAAAAGTTTCCCCAAATGCTTGGATGATAATTTGCAGAGCGGCGAGTAATAATGGCTTCTTCATCATGCACTAATGGAGTTTGGCCAAGGGTTGATGATGATGATGATGATGGTGGAACAGTATTGTTATTGGCAGCCATTTTTGTTCTTGATCGAGGGACAAACAATTCAAGAGATGACAACCAAAGTACTGAATATGTTGCTTTAATTTGGAGGTGTGGCCTTTTAATTTATAGTTATAGAATTTTTTTAAATTTATAGTAATATTTTTATTTATTCATTTAGAGAATGGATGAAGCCTTAAAGGAGAGAGTGTGACTTAGTTAAATGAATTGAACAAATTACTTGGTAAAGAGTAGAATATATGGTATGTGTAGGTAGGTGGAGGAGTAAGATGGTATGGTAATAAGTTGTTGGTTCGTAAAAAACAAAGACAATGCACATGGATGTATACAACATAAAATTAGTCCATGTAATCACATGTATATACGAGTAAGGAGTACAATTAGAAGTATTAAGATGATAAAATCTGCATTTTGAAAAATTTACTTGCACATTATTTGGTACATACCAAATTGTACATCAAAAGTTTGTACCGGCACTTTGATGATATACATTGACACAATGACATTTTAATCAAAAAAATTTATACTGATATTTTGCGTCATTGTAAGTCATAAGTGTACCGGTACAAATTCCTTGTGTATAACTTGGAATTGGTTTACACCAAATGGTGTACCCCTGACATAATTGAAATAAAATAGGTTAATTTAAAAAATTATTTATTTCGAACATTTAATAAGCACATCCACAACCCCTGACATTTAATAAGCACATCCACACTCATAACATGTATTCTTACATACACTACCAAAATGAGGTCAAATGGAAAAATTCGGTTAACAGGGTACCCCTGTCATATAAATGTTCGGAATAAGAACATTCCGAACATTACATGTCGATCGCTGACTGTTGACTGATCACACTGTCATAAAAAATTATTAGTGTGATCAGTTAACAGCCAGCGATCGACGATGACATTCCGGTGACTTAGAATGACAGATGGTACGTAGTGTGACACTAATAGTAGAGGTGGAATCAGATCAATTGCAATTTGGAATAATTTGGTTCAGATATCTTTCAGATATATGTTATAATCAGTTCGGATTGGTTGGTTAAATTTTGGAATGGGTTTAATTTGGTTCCACACACTTTCTGGATTTGGTTCGGCTTTGGGAGATCGGTAGAGATATAGTTCGAATATCAATCGGTTTGGATTAACTTTGGTTCAAATATATTTTAATTTGGGTATATTTTAGTTTCTGATATATATATTTGCATATATGTTATTTCTGAATTAAAATTTAATTATATGTTCATTATTTTGTCATATTGCACTAATCAATCTATCATCAATTTGTCTCCTCATATTATTTTATACGAGTATGTTTTTTTAATTATACTCCCTTTGTCCAAAATATCCTCCATTTTATCTTTTTAGGCATATTTTGAAATTTCGGATTACGAATTATGAAAGAAAATTATATTTAGTTCTGATATAAAATTAATATAATTAGATTACCAAATCACATACGATTTTGTTAAAATATGTTGAAATTGACTGAAATTGAATGTAATTAGGTAAAATTTAATTAAAATTAAATGCAATTCAAAGCACATATTTGGCCAACCATACAATATTGAGAGGGGGGTGAAAAAAATAGTTTTAACCGTGCTCTAGTTTGTATAAATTTTAGCTATTTTTTATGTAAGTTGTATTGTTCATTTCTAAACCAATTTATAAATAAAATATATTTAAAAAAAAGCTATGAAATTTTGCCTTTTGTTTAGATATGATGATTCATTTTGTGACGTAGGATATAATAATTTAAGTATATAACTAGCTGAAATGATAAAATAAAAGTAAGAATTTGAAATCACATGAATGTAATTGTTCACTAATGTACATAAATATAATATATTTATTGTCATGCAAAATCAGTTTTGAATATAATAGTTTCAGATCTTCTCAGTTTTGAGTCTTACTAGTTTTGAATCTAATTGATTTCAGATCTAATTGGTTGGTTCTAATTGGTTTCAAATTTAAATCGGGTATGTATATATTTAGTTCGATTTTGATTCAGTTCGGTTCAGAACATTTTAGTAATTTGCTTATTATAAGTTAGATATTCACTGTTCGAATCATTTTAGTTTTAAATTATTTGGTTCGGGTACTCGGTTCGAATTATGTTTTGACAGGTTTAATTAATAGTGTGGTAGCAATTGTAATGTGACAATATGATGAGTGTGGTAGTGTAACAATACCAATATGAACTCTTATCCTGGTTTTAAAACACTTAGAACTTGTTCTTTTCACTTGATCTGAATAATTTTGATCTGATTAGAATAAGTTCTGATTAAATATGATCTGAATGTAGTTATATTTAAAGTTACTTCTCATCTGATCTGGTCTTATATGATCAGATCTGAACTAAACTGATTCCAATAAAAAAAGTAATAAGAGTAAGTTAAATAGAATAGACTTTTAAGACTCCTATTTTGTTGTTTTTATAGGGTTTACAATTATCCAGGGAGATCACCCATTTTTTATTTGACCTCATACTCATATCTTTTCTAGTCATATTTTAAAAGCTTTGGGGAGAGTCAAGCCACTCCCCAATCAAGTCAATCAGGCTCGGCGATCGGGAAAAGCAAAACGGAATCAGAATTTGGCCGAAAAAGAAGCAAGGCTATGGATACCATGACAAATCACCACCGATAAAGAAGACTCTACTTCGAGGTAGTGGGGATGTTAGAATTTTAAATGACATAGCGTTCCTGATAAAAAATGACGAAAAAACGAAGTATTCTCTGAGTACCTCGTGAGGGGTGCAAAAAGTAACCCAATGGCCTTGTTGCCGTTTAGAGCAAACAAAGTCAAAGAAACCTATTTCATATGTTGAGGTGGATGTAGCAAAGTGGTTTCATGATTCGTTATCATCATCATAGCAAATACTACACGCTAACAAATATGTTGCTTCATTACAAGAACGATGAGTAAAATAAAAATTAAGATCTCCCGCACAGAGAATTTGGAGACGCTTACATTTCTCAATGATAGAGTTAATTAGAGTAAGACCAATCTATCCATAGGAGTACTATTGAGTGAATCAGCCACCTTTAGGGGTGTTCATTTGGTAAAATCAAACCAAATCGAACCGAAATTTTAGTAAACCGAAATTTTGGTAAAATTATATTTGTACGAAATACCGAACCGTATTAAATCGGTTCGGTATGGTAACTACCGAAATTATTTCGGTTTGGTCTTCGGTAATACCAAAAAAACCAAAAATTTCATTTTATTTTCATCTATACTTCACTTTTTTTATTTTCAATTTGTACCAGTAGCATGCAATCTCATTCAACATTTAAAGAAATTAGAAATATTTTATATTTTTTAAGCTATATTTAGTCAAAAATTACTTAGTTTTTCATATTATTAAAAGATTATCGAAGCACATGATTTTGATCATGTAAAAAAACTGAAATATAAAAAAGAAATCAAAAATTAAAAATACAAAAAGTATTCTATCAAAATATTCAAACCTTTAGCTCTCGGTAATTTATTGCCCTACGAAGTGAGGTCAATGTATTATTCATTTAGAAAAAATGAAACAAAAAATTGAAGAAAGAGTCAAATAGTAAGCATGCAAAAATTAAGCTAGATATTAAGTATTTTTTTAGAAATTAATATTGTGAATAAACGGAAGGATAAAATAAGGTAGACCACTATATGAGTTGCTAGGACTCGAGGTTAGAATTCAAACTTCAGAATATTTAAAATAATAAAATGGAATAATAATTTGGTATTCGGTAAAAACCGAATTACTGAATTACTAAGCCAAACCGAACCGAAAACCAAATTTTAGCAAAAAGAATGAAAAACTGAATACCGAACCAAATTATTCCGTTTGGTTTTGGTATGTACCGAATTTTTGATTTCGGTACGGTTTGGTCTGTTATTTACCGAATTGTGCACACCCCTAGCCACCTTACAATCTGTTTCTACAATTACTTGTTTCTAAACTTTAGTTTTGGTTTAGCTTAGTGCTTCCTTAATTGCAATGGCTTCTTTTTCACATCCCCAAAACTCCCTCTACATCTGATGTTCAAAATGTTAATCCTAACTATCACTATTTATGAAATATCATCTAGTTTTGTGATCATATTGTCAATGCAAAATTTAATTATACCAAATAATTCAAATAGCAACTTGACTATTCAAAATTATTATTTTAATTTGAATTGTATCAATATTTCATATCAGTTTTATTTCATTAATCATCAAAATTTGTTGATTTTAATTGTAAAAGGTCAAAAAAAAAGATGGCCAAAATCTTTGAGACAAAAATATAACTAAGTTTGGTTAGATGTGAAAATTTAATTTGGAACAAAGGGATTATGTAACTTTAGTTTATCTAGAAAATGGTTGAACTTTAACTTATCTAGAGGATAATTTTTTTAATAAATTGTGACATTAAATCTTTTTTTTATATTATTGAGATAATAATGACTCTACAATAGTAAGAATAACATATGAAAATAACATAAATGGTTTTTTAAGTCATTGTTAGAAGAAATTGGAAGAAGTTAGAAAAAATTAGATGAATTAGAAGAAATTTGAAAGAAATTTGAAAGAAGTTGGAAAAACTAAAAGAAGTCGGAAGAAATTGGAAAAAGTTGAAATAAACTAGAGAAAAAATTGAAAAATATTAAAGGTTAAGAATTAAAATTGAAATGAAAAAAAGATCTAAGTTTGGTTAGATGTGAAACTTAATTTGGAACAAAGCGTTTATGCAAGAACTATACAATGAATTGAGTATATATACATGCACTTTCTTGGTTTTATAAAGACTAATAGAGTATGTAGATAATTAAGGGTTGGTGATGAGGTGCATTTCATTTCATACCATACTTAACTTAAATTAGTGCCCTTTGTTCCATCTTATAACCTCTATATAAACACATACAAATTGTAGCAATGAAACAAGAAAACAAAACACAATAATTAATTAGCTTTGATTACAATATTAAAAAAGAAAATGGATTTGTTCATAACCTTTCTCGTAGGAGCTTTCATGGCTGCAACTTTCCTACTACTAACCTCTCTCAAAAGAAAAGACTCGAGCCGCGGACCGCCGGAAGTCGGCGGCGCGTGGCCCATAATCGGCCATCTCCACCTCCTCACCGACCCGCGCCCGCCGCACTTGATCTTGGGAGATATGGCCGACAAATACGGGCCGATGTTCCAAATCAGGCAAGGAGCGCATAAAGTGTTGGTGGTGAGCGACTGGCAAATAGCGAAGGAGATCTTCACGGTGAAGGACCGGTCGTTCGCCGGCCGGCCGGGGAGGATCGCGTCGGAGGTCATGGGGTACAACTATGCCATGTTCGGACTCAGCCCCTACGGCCCTTACTGGCGCGACGTCCGCAAGGTCGTGGTGGTTGAGCTCTTGTCCAACCACCGCCTCAACGAGCTCCGGCATTTCTGGGTCGCCGGACTGAAATCCCTCGTCGGAGATCTCCACCGCGCCTGGCTGGCAGAGAATCACGGCGCCGATGAATCTCAGAATAAGAGCGTCCGATATGTCAAGGTGGGTCGCTAATTAATTACTTGCATTCGCATACAATTTCCCTGGACTTTTGATATCATTTTACTACGTAAAATATACTTGGGTATATAATTTTCATTTTTTAATTTCACACTTATAATCAAATAAATTGAATTGAAAAATAATTTCAGTCAAACCTCAACTTAGAGAAAGAGAGAGTAGTATTTTTTATACTTAATAACAAAATGGAATAGAATTTATGAAATTCAAATTTTTATAATAATATAGAATTTACAATGTCATATAGCAATATTAGAAAATATTATAAAATACTACGGAGTAATACATAATGCCAAATTACGGATGTTCATACCACCAATACTTTTATTTAGAGTATAAATCATAGAATATTTTGTTTTTCGGTATAAGTTTTATACTTCACTCTTTTTTAGGTAGATTTCCTTTTAAAATCTTTAAAATATAAAAAAAAAATTCTTGGGTTTAAAAATGCACATTTAACTTTTTAGTTGGTTTTGTTCATTAACATGGTATGTGACATTGTGATTACAGGTTGAGATGATTGACATGATAAGAAGACAGATAATGGACATCCTGACGCAGATACTCTTTGGCGAGCACGCCGAAGAAGGGGGAAAAACTGGGAAGACACTTAGGAAATTCTTCGACCTTCTAGCGGTGACAACGGTGGGAGATTCGATCCCATGGCTGAGGTGGTTGGACATCGGGGGGCACGAGAAGGGGATGAGGAAGACGGCAAAGGAGCTAGACGACATGGTGGAGGGGTGGTTGCAACAACACAAGAGGGGGAGGGAACTGAGGAAGGAAAGGGGTGAGGAGTTGAGGAGAGAAGGAGAAGACTTCATGGATGCACTCATCACTCGCATTGAGACGGAGAAGGATTTCATGGATTCTGGGTTTGACTCTGATACCATTGTCAAATCTACTTGCTTGGTATGTTCTCTAATACTCTCATCGTCTCAAAATGGGCATCTCTTTAAAAACTACATATTTAGAAACTACATCAATTTTTTAATATATATGGTCGTAGGCTATTTTGGGAGCAGCATCGGATACAACGACGGTGACACTAGTGTGGGCCATATCCTTGCTCCTCAACAACCCCAGATGCTTAGAGAAGGTGAAAGCTGAAGTTGACAGCCAGATCGGGTCAGAGAGGGCCGCGGCCCCCTCTGACCTCAACAACCTACCCTACCTCCACGCGGTCATCAAGGAGACTCTCCGGCTGTACCCGGCCGCCCCGCTCCTGCTCCCGCACGAGGCCATCGAGGACTGCACCCTGAACGGGTACAGCGTCTCGAAGGGCACGCATCTCCTGGTGAACCTCCCGAAGATGCACCGGGACCCGAAGAACTGGGGGGACGCGGCCGTGTACAGGCCGGAGAGGTTCCTGGAGGAGCATGCGGACATCGACCTGAAGGGGAATCACTTCGAGCTGCTCCCGTTCGGGAGCGGCCGGAGGATATGCCAGGGGATGTCCCTGGCGCTGCAGGTGGTGGGGCTGGGGCTGGCCATGCTGGTCCAAGGGTTTGAGCTCAAGAGGGTTTCCGACGAGGCGGTGGACATGACGGAGTGTAGCGCCGCCACCAATATGAAGGCTACTCCGCTGGAAGTTCTTGTTTCTCCTCGCCTGCCTTCGCACCTCTATCAGAGCTGATAATCTTGGGTTTGGCGCCATTCAATTTTATTTACTTGCTTATTAATTGTACTCAATTAAGGCAACGTCTCATTAATGAAGAAATATATATAATGCCCAAGTTTGGTTTTTTCTCAATAACTTTCTATGCAAATATTCCGTATTATTTATCCATTGGAATTTTACTACTCCCCCGTCCCTAAATAAAGTTCCTCTTTCGTTTTTTCTTTGTCCCTAAATAAACTTCTCTTTTTCCTTAAAAAACCCTTTTTACCCCTTACTTTTTCATACTTTACCTATCACATCATACCTTTTTACTAATAATCTACCTATCACATCTTATTTTTACACATCACATCAAGGGTATTTTTGGAAAGTCAACACAAAAATATCTCTCCCTTAAATTCTCAAAAAGTCAAAAATGGAACTTTATTTAGGGACGGAGGGAGTATTTTTTTTATTAATTATTTGATAAAATACTACTACCATATGTGTACCATAAACTTGAATGGTCTTCGGGTATACAAAAGCGATGCAAATCAAAATCAAATTTTAATCCAGCCAAATTCGAAGATATGTCTGATAATACCAAAAGGATGTGTCGGAGATTTTGGCCTTATTTCTGACGAGAGTAGCATAGGAGGAGATTTTTGACTGATGAATTTAACGAAGTCATGAGAAAGAAAGGATGTAAATGATGGTTGAATCTGAATGGTTAGATCAGTTCTAAGGGTCGTAACAGATGAGGACATATCTTCGAATTTACTTAAATAGCACTAAAACATAATGACTTTCCCTAAATAGCACCACATGTGTTTTTCTTCCCAATGCAGCACTTTTAGTCATTATACATTAGTCATTATTCAAGCAAATATTCGTCATCACTGGACATTATAGACATTATTAAGTGCTATTTAGGGAAGAAAACAGTTTAAGTGCTATTTAGGAAAATGACTTAAATTTTAGTGCTATTTAGTACTCCACAAATATTTCATCCTATGATTGCTTAGTAATCCACTCTTATAATTGTGATAGGCACCATTATTGGGGGAAATAAAAGATAGTCCAAAAATTATGTTGATTGACTGTCATTTAAGCAAACTCATTAGCAACAAAATTTTTCTCTCTCATGACAAGGATAATTTGCACCTTCCAGTTCATGCGAATCTCCAACCAATTATATTTCTGAATTGCATCTCAGATTGGTCCTTAAATATCATTATTGCGCCCTTCTTCAATCAAATCCACCGCCCTCTTCAAGTCGCGCTAACATTTTTCAAATTCTTTGCCCAAGCTTGTTGGCCTTTGAGGATTATTGCCATGACAAAAACTTCCTCTACATGATTTGCCAGAAATTGGGAAGTAAAGCCAGTAATCCATTTTCCTTAATTACCAGATCTCAGATTACTCCACCTACATGCACCAGGAGCATTATTTCTCATACAACCATCTATGTCCAAAGTCATGAAGTCCTTGTGTGGTGCCTCCCATTTATATTCACCCTATGCCTTAGAAAGAGGAGATATCCCATTCCCACTCACCATTCATCATTCACATCTTTCTCTATGTTTACCTTTCTCTTTCTAACTAGGGGTATCAAAATCAAACAAAATTCGCTAGGCAATTTCTTCTGTAGATCTAAAGTCCGTGCTGATTATATAGACCTTAATACATTTGTAATATAAAAGAAGCGAGTCTTTTTGGGTTTGTGGAGGCTTGGACTTGTCTTGTTGGCCCGGCCCATGTGATGTAACCCTAGGTTGTTTTCCTCCTATATATTGAGCCTTGTACTTGTAATTCCGTGAGACACGACAAGTGAAATAAGAAAATCCTCCTGTTGCAGCCATGGATTAGGGAAACCGAACCACGTTAAATTCTTGTGTGTCATCCGTGTTCCGTTTCTCGTAGATTATTTGTGTGTGTTGTGTGTTTATTTCCCAACAAGTGGTATCAGAGCCTACGAGAACACAAATTGTGAGAAAATTTGTCGTCTAGGTTTGCAGATCTGCGCCGCTGTGAAGGAGATTACTGCCGCTGGTTCGAGCAGAGGTGGACCGGAGCAGCGAAGGAGCTGCCGCCAAGTTGAGGAGCCGCTGCCGCCTTCAGTCGCGCAGCCCAGAATCGCCGTCAGCCGCGTGCAGTGGAGCAACTGCTAATCCGTCCAGGCGCCACCGCAGAGGAGTCGCCACCAAACGCCGTCGCCGTCGAACCAGATCTCCATCCGCGTGCAGTAAGCCGCGTCGAGCGGGGAGCGCATCCGCCGTCCAGAACGCATCACCGTTGGATAGGCTGTGCAGAAGGCAGTCCAGCCGCCAAATTCCAAAGCCATCGCCGCCGCCGCCCTAATTGAATCGAAGAAGAAAACAATAAAAAGGGGTTGGGCCGTGTCTGTCAGCCCATTTTTGGGGTTTGTTTTTCCTTTTTTTTGTGGCAGGTGCGGAAGGATTAAAAAAGTGGGGAAGGTGCAGTAGGCCAATTATTTCAATTGGTCAGTCCATTATTCTTTTTTTTGGGAGTTTGGCTTGAATTTGGTGTTACTCGTGGGCTGCAATTGGTGGGTGGATATTGGGCTGATTTGTTTTGGCTAATTTAATTGGTGTGGTGGGCCTGATTTTCTGACGAAATTACCAAGATCTGAAATTAGTTGTACCGGGTATCTCGTCTAGTCGTGTGATATGGCAGAAGACGGGAAGTTCCGATATGAGAAGTTCGATGGTACAGATTTCAGTTGGTGGAAGATGCAAATTGAAGATTTGCTGGTTCAGAAAGATTTGGACGTGGTTTTGGGTGACAAGCCAGAAAAGATGTCAGATGCAGATTGGGCAGGTTTGGATCGAAAAGCAATGTCCGTGATCCGTCTCTCGTTGACCAAGAATGTTGCCTTCAACATTCTGAAGGAGAAGACAGCAAAGGGAATTATGGACGCACTGTCTAACATGTACGAGAAACCATCTGCAGCGAATAAAGTTTTTTTGATTAGAGAGCTGGTGAACACAAGGATGAAAGAAAGCACTTCAGTTACCGAGCATATCAACAAGTTAAATTCGATCTTAACCAGACTTGCGTCAGTTGGCATTAAGTTCGATGATGAAGTTCAAGCTTTGCTACTACTATCGTCTTTGCCTGATAGTTGGTCCGGAACGATTACAGCGGTTACCGGTTCAGTGGGACCTGATGGATTCACCTTTGATCAGATTCGAGATCTCGTTCTTGGCGAGGATGTCAGAAGAAAGAGTCTAAGGGAGTCATCTGGTGAATTGCTTCATGTTGGTAGAGGCAGAAGAAATAGCAGAGGTAGTGGGAGCGGGAACAGACGAAGGAGTCAGTCGAAGACTCGCGACAGCTCAGGTGTAACGTGCTGGAAGTGCAAGGAGGTAGGGCATTTTAGGAATCAATGCCCGAATGACAAGAAAGTGAACATTGCTGAAGGTTCTGCGAGTGACGAGGAAGTCACTCTGACTTGTTGTGAGGAAAGCAATGTGGATTCCTGGGTCATGGATTTTGGTGCTTCATTTCATGCCACCCACAGCGGTGAAGCATTGCAGAATCTGGTTATTCAAGATTTTGGAAAGATACGACTAGCAGACGACAGAGCTCTTGAGGTGACGGGCATGGGTGACATAGTGCTGAGGACCCCAGTCGGTTTCTGGACTTTGAAAGATGTCAGAGTTGTTCTAGCCTTGAAGAAAAGTTTGATTTCTGTCTGGCAGTTGGACGAACAGGGACACGAGGTGAAGTTCAGAGATGGGCAGTGGAAGGTCGTGAAGGGAAATCTTGTCATGGCCCGCGGAAGGAAGAGTGGTTCGTTGTATATGGTCGACTTACCATCTGAGGGAGTGACCGTCCCAGTTCAGAAGAGAAACAAAGTACGGTTCACATAGTCTCGTGGACAGAATAAGGTTGTCTATGCAAGAGAGAAACCTAGAGCCACAGGTCAGACTCATGATGAACGAGCGATGAAAGGTTCAAGGAGGCCAGTCAGAGGTATTTGTGGCAGTGGGAGCTCAAGAGGCGCTTCAGCCAAGTTGCCTAGAAGACAGTGGGTCAGGAGAACCAGTATTCCAGCTGTTCGAACATCTCCAGAAAATTTCTTGCTGAGTACGGAGATTGTTTGTTCTCAGGATGTTCCAGGATCCGGCAGTGTGCGTCTGCAGTGGGAGCCGGTAGGGACCGAGGACGAGTCAGGGGCAGATTTAGCCGTGACTGATGTGTTGGAGCTTGGGAGAGCTTCAACGGGCCTTTCAGTTGTCTGATGAGAGGGCCGCTGCAATAGGAGAGCTGAGGAAGATTACTCGATGTACAGGCGATCGTGGCGGATGGCAGTTGATGATTATCAAGCCTCCAAGTGGGAGAATGTTGGGTTTGTGGAGGCTTGGGCTTGTCTTGTAGGCCCGGCCCATGTGATGTAACCCTAGGTTGTTTTCCTCCTATATATTGAGCCTTGTACTTGTAATTCCGTGAGACACGACAAGTGAAATAAGAAAATCCTCCTGTTGCAGCTGTGGATTAGGGAAACCGAACCACGTTAAATTCTTGTGTGTCGTTCGTGTTCCGTTTCTCTCGTTTCTCGCAGATTATTTGTGTGTGTTGTGTGTTTATTTCCCAACAATGAAGTCCTTGTGTGGTGCCTCCCATTTATATTCACCCTATGCCTTAGAAAGAGGAGATATCCCATTCTCACTCACCATTCATCATTCACACCTTTCTCTATGTTTACCTTTCTCTTTCTAACTAGGGGTATCAAAATTAAACAAAATTCGCTAGGCAATTTCTTCTGTAGATCTAAAGTCCGTGCTGATTATATAGACCTTAATACATTTGTAATATAAAAGAAGCGAGTCTTTTAAAAAAATCACATGTAAATTCATAAAAAATGTGAGAAGATCTACATTTTAAACGTGAACCTTAGGAACATATAAGTATCACTCAAATGGTTGTTTCCAAGGAGACCCTATTTCATTTTCTCTTCCCACTTATGGGCCAACATTATTTCATAAGGAAGATTCGGAAGCAAGTGAAGAGGGCCCAAATAAAATCTAAGGTTCATACCAGCCCAAGACCAAACATTCATAACTGGATAATTCGGAATTTCTTGGAAGACTAATGGGCCGGGTAGAAAAACCAAAGACAAAATCTAGAAGCGTCCCGTCTCGAACTTTCTAGGGTTGATTATCTTCCTCCCCTGCCAAAACCCATCACTCAACAGTCAACACTATCCACACTCCGATTCTTCATTTCTTGCAATAATCCCAGGTATGTTTCATTCCCTTGCTTCTTGCTGATATGAATTGAAAGAATTATCTTTGAATTTTGCGTTTATTATCATTCGTCTTTCTTTCTCCAAATCAAGGTCCGATAAGAATGGCGTCAATTCAGTTAACCGCCTCCGCCATTTCGGCAAAGGGGTTTGTTTCCTTTGATGGGAGTCTTCGGAACACCGGAAAGATCGCATCTTTCGCTCCTTTCTCGAAGAGCTCAAGTAGCTCCTTCCGGCCTCTCGTCGTCAGGGCCGCCACCGCCGTTGCTCCTAAGGTAATCCCCATGAATTCTGTGAGAATATCTTTCTTTTTTTTTCTTCCCAAGTTTGTAAAAGATTCTGTTGAACATTGTTTGGTGTAATTGTGGGTAACTTTTCTTGTAGATGGATGGACCCTGTATGAGATGATTTTTTTTCTTTTCTTTCTGATTTATGAGTATTTGTTTTGTAAGATTAATTGATTTTTATGCAGTACACTTCACTCAAGCCACTGGCTGATAGAGTGTTGGTGAAGATAAAGACAGCTGAGGAGAAGACGGTGGGAGGCATACTGCTTCCATCTTCAGCACAATCAAAACCCCAAGGTGGTGAAGTTGTTGCGGTCGGAGAGGGCCGAACAATCGGGAAGACCAAAGTTGACATTAGTTTGAAGGTAATAATTATTGAATATGATGGAATGGAATGAAGCTAGTCTTGAAACTTATTCAGTGCTCAAGATTTTCCAATCTTGTGCAGACTGGAACTAAGGTTGTGTATTCAAAATATGCCGGGACGGAGGTGGAGTTCAATGGAGCTAATCATCTCATTCTGAAAGAGGATGACATTGTTGGCATTCTTGATACTGATGAAATCAGTGACATGAAACCTCTCAATGACAGGGTTCTAATAAAGGTTTGTCATTTATTGTACTCGCGCATTACTCTCTTTAATGTATCTGCATAATGAACCCTCCTTGTTCATGTACCAGGAAGAAAGTCATGTTTCAAACACATTTTTTTCCGGATAAAAGTGTGCAGTTTGATCAAATGTTTGAAAATGATTTGTTAAATTATTTTTGCATGTAACTTGCTGGTTAAAAGAGTCACATACAAGTTAATCCAACAAATAAAATTAAAAAATATATATGAAGCTGATTCATGATTTATCATAGTTGAATCTGGTGAAGTTTAAAAAGTTTTACATACGTTTAATTGGATTCTTATTTTGGGACATCCGATGTATTTCATTATGAGTTGCTGAGCTCTGTTTACTCCATGCAATATCCTGAAAGATTGAAAGTTGCATTGCATTCTGTTTTAGGTTGCTGAGGCAGAGCAAAAAACTGCAGGAGGATTGCTTCTCACAGAGGCTAGCAAAGAGAAACCTTCCATTGGAACTGTAAGAAATTCCTTCCTCCCATCCAAATGCCTGTTTTAAATGAGTTATTTTGCGTGGTTAAATTGATTTTACCCATCAAGTTTTTGTCACCTAAGGGTGACTAAATTTTGTTGATATAATTCTTCATAGCCAAATAAGTCGATGGTTATGATTCGTTCTTATGGAGCTTTTTGATTAACAACAGGTTGTAGCTGTTGGTCCTGGACCTCTTGATGAAGAAGGGAAGAGGAAAGCATTATCAGTCAATCCTGGAAACACTGTACTCTATTCCAAGTATGCCGGCAATGAGTTTAAAGCCAGCGACGGTTCTGATTACATTGCGTTAAGGGCATCTGATATCATGGCTGTCCTCTCTTAGTTGCCTGAAATTTTCTTAGTGACTTCTCCTCTGTCTTGGCCTAGATAATGCCAATCTTCATGCTTGAGAGTAAAATGTTATTACCCATAGTTGGTTGAAGCACTGCAGTGTAAACAAAGATTGATCTTTTAAGCAACTCTCTACTCATATTATGGGAATTCCATTGGTTTTATTGTGTTGTCTTGAAGCTAGTCCAGAAGTTTTCAAGTATTTAACCTTCTGTTACCTGAGTTTTTCTTTGGCAAGAACACATAAAACACAAAATTTACAACTTGTCTTAACATGTCCATTAACACTATGTTTGGTTCAAGGAATTTGAAAAGGAAAAGAAAAGAAAATGGAGTGGAAAATCATTTTTCTTGTTTGGTTAGAGGGGAAAAGAAAGGAAAAGTGGAAGGAAAAGAAAATGAGGAGGCAAAATGTATCAGGTGGATGGAAAACCAAATTCCTCCCATTTTGGTGAGGAAAATGAGAGAAAATCATTTTTTTTTCTTTTCCTTCCAAAATCCTTGAGCCAAACACAGTGTAAAAGTGACACTATTATGTGGATCAAGAACTGAACACAAATGATGCATTTGAAAATTTTCACACATGTTCAAAAGTGGTCTAGAGATATTCATTCCTTCCCAGGTTTCAGGACAAGAAAAAACACTTGTGGAGGGGCACAAACAAAAACCTAAAAACTGGACAAAACATTATACAAATGCAAATCCCTCTTCTGCTCTGAAAGCAGCTTTACATTTCCCAGCAAAAACAAATCTTCAAATGAAAGTGCTTCAAGATCTTCATGTTGAGTCTTTTTGCTGCTCAATCAAAGTATACATATATATTTATATTTATGTTTATATTGATATGTATGTCCCAGCTACTCCATTACCAGCTTTGGAAAAAAGGGCTTTTAAACATTAAAATGCATATTACCCAGTTAGCCTCTGAATCTTGAAACTTTCACATGTTTTTAAAAGAATGTTTGCAGGTACTAGTAGTTGGGGTGTATAGTAGTTTCATCATCATCATCATCATCATCTCCATGCACTACCGCTATCGGTCCCACTGCAAGCTTGATTTGGACCAGGCCCAAGATCTCCATCCAAACTCATCTGCTGCACTTCTCCAGTAGACAGTATCTTTATGCTTTGTACACAGCTCACAAACTCTCTGAAATCAATAAAGTTGTTAACCCTTTTATAACTGTAACATTGATGGAGCTTTAAAAAAGAGTCACTGTGAACAATGTTTTTTCTGGTCTGGGTAAATAATGACCTAAATCAAGAAAAAAAGACTTACTCCCAAGGATCATCACCAACGAGCAATATATCGTTCTCGTGATCTACATAGACAAGCTTCCAATCTGTTCTTTGTGGATCTTCTAATTGGCCTTCGATCCCAAACATGCGCGCCAGATCCTGCCTTAGCTCATCATACCCCTTGTAACGTGTCACGTCAATCGTTCTCCCTACCGATCCTCGCTTTTGAACCTTTCACAGTTTTCAAATTCCAACACTTTTTACTACCATTCGCTTTCGAAAACCAGATTTTCAGAAACAAATGCACATATCTTTTGAAAACGCAACAGAAATAAGTTGTGATGAGCAGTGAGAAGAACAAACCTTGGTGTAGGTTCGCATGCGCGGAGTCTGGTTGGTCCACAAACTGGCCCCACCATTCAGGACGCTAGCCTCATTGTTGATCGCAACATCATTGGAACAGCCAGCTTTGAAAGACATATTGGGCAGCCCAAACGACTGAGAATGGATCCCAGCACTGGACAACTCAGTGTCAATATCCCTAGGAGGAGAGTTACCATAAGTGGCAAACAGGTTTTGCATATCCTTCCCAGAGTCATAACCCCTTGACAGCAAAGCATCCGGCGGAAGGCTATCGATATTAGCAGTGGAAGAAGGCATGCTGTTCCTGGAATGGGACTGGATGTCCGCCCCATCCAAACAGAACCCGCCGGGTAAGGAGAAGTTCTGGTGGAGCCCACTGGCGTCCAAGCAGTATGAAGTCGCGGACGACGCCGCGTCCAAGTTGTTGTCTGTCCCTTTGGACACGATGGGCAAGTCACGTTTCGGCGGAACGTCGCACTTTTGAGGTGGCTCGACTATGGAGTCATCATCTAATAGCACAATCTGAGGTGGTGGTTGTTGTTGTTGGTGGTGGTGGTGGTGGTTGTTCCTGTTCATGAAGGTGGATGGAAACACCTGGCAGTTATTCGTGGAGGGCGAGCTTGACCGCAGCCGATTGTCTCCATCAGTGAGCCCAGAGTGAGCTTTCTGCGGCGGCGGCGGCGGCGGCTTTTGCGGGCCCTGAGGATGTTGGTTCGCTGGGAATTTCGGAGATTGGAGCGGCGGCAGAGGTTGCGAAAGCTGGCGGCTTTGTTGCTGTTGCGGAATAAGTGGGTCCACATTCGAGTTTGAGCTAACCGGAGACAAGAGCTGCTGCTGCTGTTGTTGTTGTTGTTGGAGTTTGTGTAGCATCTGTAGTTGGAGCTGATCAGTAGTGAGGTTGTTCTGTTGTGTTTGTAGTGGCGGCGGCGGCGGCCTCTGCTGCATTAAGCTCTGCTGTAGCAACTGCTGCAGTGGAGAAGCCTGCTGCAGCTGTTGCTGCTGCGGAAACGGCAATTCTTGAGGTAAGGACGTGTTTGGGAACGCAGTTTTGATAGCCGTTTGCGAGTTCAGCGGCGGCAACTGCACGTTTCCGGTAAGCAATTGTTGCTGCTGCTGCTGCTGAAGATGAGGCAGGTTCTGGTTTTGGGTTAAACTCTGGTTTTGGGTTAAGTTCTGGTGTTGCGGCAAGTTAGAGGTAATGACGACGTTGTTCAGACCGTTGAAATTCAAATTCTGTTGTTGCTGTTGTTGAAGTTGTGGCGGCGGCTGGTTTAGTTGGTTGGGTTTGTTGAACTGGAGATTCTGTTGGGGGAAAGCAGCGGGCGACTGGAAGTTCATCAACCGCGACTGGTTGTCAATGCCGCCACCGCCGCCGCCACCGAGTAACGAACCATTGGTTTGGTTTAAAAGTCCTGTTTGGTTGATGTTCTGTTGTTGCATGCTCATCCATTGGACTAAGCTCAATCCGGGGAACATGGAGCTCGAAGCGTCTTTTATGCCAAACTCGTCCCCGATCCACGGCATCCCCCCACCACCTCTTCGGAATATATTGTCCATATCGCCCTCGTCGCCCAGAAACCCGGGCTGCCTGGGAAACTTAGGCCTAAAAAATGGTGGAGGGCATATGTAGAAAGGTGTGACAACCGGTTCGATATCCCATATCGATACCCGAGCCGGACGGTCCCCGGCGGTCGATTCATCCCACCCCACCTATGAAACGCGACGGGTTTATACGGTTAATAACCGAAACAGCCCGAACCAAAAGCTCAAACTTGTAGGCCCAGAAAATGTTGTAATCATACCTGAAGATTGCGCCACTGAGAGTTTTTCCAACGAACGGGATCGAAATCGCTAATGCCGGTAATGGTGCCCATGTACCTACGGACCCCGGACTCCTCGGTCTCAAACATCATCCGAAACCGCATCCCTAGGGACACTTGAGTGTACATAGCCTTGTTATACTTGGCAAGAGGGATCACAAATTCAGAGGGACTAGCCCTACAAGTTTTGGTCAACAAAATTCAGTTTTTTTGATTGACATTGTCAAGAAACCAATTCAACCAAAAACTTATGGTAACAGACCTAGTAAATATCATTATTATTACTATTATTATTACCTGGGATTGTAAAAGATGGTAAAGGGGCTGTTATTAGCGGCAGCATGAGCAGCAGCGGCAAGTATACCGATATGCATGCTGTCGCTGGAAATGACCGATGAAGAAAGGGCGGGTTGCTGCCGGTTCGCGCGCCGTATACCCAACAGAAGCTGAGACTTTTCATCCCTATGTAACACATTTACCAGCTCAGTGAAAAGAGGATAAAATACCTTTGTTTTTTTCCTTTGTGAGTAGAAATTTGCAGTGGTTTTTATTTGTATTTACCTTATGAAAAGGACAGCATCACCAGCACAGAGTCTTTTGGAGGACACAAAAACACTCCATCCAGTAGTCAATAAGTGCCTTTTCGGTTGCCCTATTTGTTAGGCATCAAGAAACTATAAGGCTGTGTATTTGGAACACAGACAATGCTAGGAAAAGAAAGTATCAAAGGAGTAAACAAATTCCCATTTTTGTGGATTTGGAATTAGTTTTCCACTTTACATGTTTGATAATCCAAGTCTATGGACGCTACCTCGATATATATGTCGAAAAGTCCATGTTTGATCATGCAAGTCTCTGGACACTATCTCCTGAGCCGGAGGCTGCATCGAGTAATCCTATCCAAACAAACAAAAGAAAAACTTGGGGTAAAGAAACCGAACAAGAAACTTGTTTTTAGTGTCTACCAACTCAAAGTTTTGATTTTTTTAATACCAGAGGTGGGAAAATCTTCTCAGCAGCGCGACGAGGAACAGAAAAACCACCATGAGTGCTTGTATCACTAGCTGTGAGTGTCTTGCAGAAGAACTCAGAAGGTTGTCTGTTTTGCTTCAGGCCCATGTCGGATATAAGCAACGCTTCTTGATCATACTGTACAAAGAATTCGTTGTTAAAATGATTGAGGTGAATGGACATAGTTTCTTGAGATTGGAATGTCATATCGGAGCGTTTCTATCATAGCTGACCTACTTTGTTTACAGGTTGAAGAGTCATTTGAGCATACACTTCATCGGATTCTGTATCAGCCTGCATAGAAAACAAAACATATGATTCCAAGAACCAAATTACTTGTCGAAAATTTGGCCTTTACCAAATGGGCTCAAAATCACATGAAATCCACTCAAGATGAGTGGAGAAATTTCAAGAATTGGGAGTTCCCCGGAAAGAGGAAATTCCAAACTTAGGGATACAGCAAGATGGAAACAGCCTATAGGGGTAAGGTACACGTACACTTGCCCCTCTACATATCCTACTTTTGTGGGACTTTACAACAAGATTTAGGGAATTGAGTGAGAAAAAACCATACATGTAAGGTGACACTGTGGAGCATGCATATCAACTTGGAAGGAAGGTTTGGATAGTTTGGAATTCCATCGGTCTCCTTTTGCATCGACGCTGCAACCTATGAGAGTTGTTATCAGTATATAAAACAACACGATTTCATAAGATATGCTGTTATTTTTCAATAAGTTTTAAAAAGAAAAAGTTCTTGTGCAGTTCATTTTTGTTAACATCTTCATCTTCTTGTTCAATCAAATGGATGAAATTGAACATACCTGTTCACTGTGGCCTTGAGGAAAATAAACCACAAGGCTCCCCACAGCTGGCAGCGAAACCAACGGACCGGCACAGGCATGCCACAGCTCTGAATTTATCACCTTCCTCTCTATCACAATTACAAAACAAACAAAAAAATGAAATCTTTACAAGTTTCAAGAAAATGCAAGCGAAGATTGCAAAATTGTGAAACAGAAAAGGGGGAAAAAGGGAAATGAAGAAACACCTTCTCCTGGATTTGCAATGTACCCATTTGATGGAACCTTCATTTCTACAGAAAAAAGTATGAAGAAATCCCAAATCTTTGCCGAATCCCAAACCTATCTCCCCCACCAGAATCCAAAAGAATCAAATCAAATGATTCAAATCTCTTTCCGTCTTCAATCAGTTACTTGAAAATGCAAAAGTGAAAGACTTTCTGCACTGCGCTGTGCCTTTACTCCTCAGTAAAGGCCCCTAATTTCAACTGAGCTTAAGTCAATGGGGACTCAACAAACAGGCCTTGTTGTTACCTACAAATTTCTTGATAATGTTGAAAAAAGAAGCTCAAAGAATCCATATTTTTTTTCTTTGGGTACCCTAAAGTACTGCCAAAGTTTGAATCTTTCGTGTCGCCCAAATCAGCTCCCCTTCTTCTCCACTAGAAGACAAGAGATCATGAGCTCAGCCGCTTGCGGCGGAGGGAAACGGCTAAACCTGGCCGGATTTTCAAGAAACCAGCAAAAGACCAGAAAAATGAAAATTCCAAAAAAGGGGGAAATTAAAAGCTGCTGGAAACACAGCAGGAAAAAGGGCGGTTTGGGAATCGAGATCAAGGGGCGGCGGCGGCGGTGGGGGGTTCTGAAAAGTTGCCGGAAAATCCGACGCCACAGAGCGGGGAGGTGCTTTATAGAGAAAGCCAATACCCGCTGCTTTGCATTGTAATTACGGTGATATATACGGAGTACTGCGCTAATGACGCCGGCCGGCAAATAATTTGGACAGAGTAAAATAATTAATGATGGGATTATGTTTGTGTTAAGTGGGATTAGTACGGTGATTAGGAGAGTGTGGTAGAAGAGAACAAGCCGACAGAAAATGGACTGGAGATGGCTAAACAAAGAAATTACACTGCCGTGTTTGGTTCTACCGTGGCATTGTCACTGTTATTCCACGCTCTCTCTCTCTCTCTCTCAAGTCTCACTCTCTCTCTCTACTAATCAACCAAAAAACTTTCTTGATTCATTGGGATGATAGCAATTGATTTTTCTTTTTGGTAAGTTGGGATGGTAGAAATTGATTGAAGGCAACTTCTTATTCCCAATAAAATATTAAAGCAAGAATCTTTTGATATTGGTTATCAATGTCAAAAATGGTCCAAAACACATGCACTATTTCGTTAGTAAAATTTATGATTCTTTACTCATAAATCACTACAAAGTAAGTCCAAACCCCCTTACACGAGTATAATTACTTGGGCCGGATAACACTTGGCCAGGGTATCTCTCAAGTGCAATAGATCACTGAAGGTGTTTTCACTAAAGTCTTCTACCTCGGGTATATTATTCGACATCTAATTGAATTTCCCTCTAATCTTTTTGTAAAAGTTGATGCACGGTTGTAAAGTCCATCTATTGTGTTGATCGATTTCGGGATTTCAAAAAAAAGAAAAAAGAAAATTAGAGTCAAAAGATACGGGGTTGCTACAGTAGCAAAGTGTGATGATTCGTTTCACTACGTGTAACTAGATGAGCAACTATCCGGAAGGAGTTAGAAAAAACTACAAGTTAATTTATTTCAACCCAAATGAACATATCCTTAAAATGGTAAAGTCGTGGTGGACAATAAGGCTGTCTATAGCCACATCAGCATTGTATGCGTTCACCATCTCACTCAATTCACACTTGTAGTGTCTCACTTTCATTGCAATGATTACACTTTTATCAATTTATGTTCAAATTAAATTCAACTCCCTCCGTTCCACAAAACCCTTCTTCTTTCGTTTTTTTGCTTTCCACAAAACACTTCCACTTTCTATTAAAAAACTACTTTTACTTTACTTTTTCATGCCCTACCTATCACATCATACTTTTTCACTAATAACCAAACTATCACATCTTACTTTTTCCCATCACATCAGGGACAAAATTGGAAAGTCAACCAAAATTTCACTTTCCTTATTTTTCCCCAAAGTCAAAACCAGAAGGGTTTTGTGGAACGGAGGGAGTATCTTTTATAAAAGAATAAAAAAGTATTTTTTATGTTTTCGGGTGTATATTTTCTTTCGATTTTTTTTGTTCGGAATTTTAATTTAATTTTAAAATACATACATAATGCACATGTTGCATATCATCAACACACTGTTAAAGTTTTTTCGCAAAGAGGAAAATAAATTTAAAAAAAATACACGTGATTATTATATTGATTATTGTGCAGAACATTATTGTTATTTTTGTCAACTGGGGACGATTTTCTTCCTTGGGTTAAGACATTTTTTTTATCTACTAAGGACAATTTTTGTCTAAGGGACCCCAAGGGGAGGGTGGGGTTTGGTACAAGCCCTTTTATTTCATGATTTTTTACCACTTAAAGAGGTATATATATTAGGTATAAAGTGCAATTCATTAAACACATAATCATGTGCAATTTGGTTCAATATTTAGAAATGTGGTGAGAATTTAGGGCCCTACCCAAAAATAAGTTTGGAGGACAAATTTATGGCCCTACCCAAAATAATACGGATTATACTCCTTTAAATTTCATTTTTTATACGGAGTAATACACATTTTCATTAATCTATTAAAATTCTTTATTTAGGAATATATTCATTAACCCTTTTTTAAAAAAATAACATGATCCAAGACATTTCCTATTTCATATATACGTTCCTAAAGAATTAGGATTCACACAAAACAAAGTAAAATTTTAAATTTTTTCATTCATTTTATTTAAAGATTGGTATAAAAATAAAAAAAAATTAAACTCTCATATTTAAAAACTACATCGGAAATTCTATAAAATAAGAGGTGATAAGACTCTCATAATTAGTCTCCGACTCTATGATACTCGCTCCGTCCCTAAAAACATAGGAGGTTTTGATTATTAAAAAATTTAATGGGAGTGTATTTTGGTGCTGGGTTTTCAAAAATATTATTTTTGTGATGGGTAAAAGTAATGAATTTATCGGTAGATTAATAGTGAATAGATGTGATGTGATAGGTAAGTTAAGAATTAGTACGGATAAAAGTGACTTTTAGTAGAAGTGAGAAAAGCTTTTTAGAACGGATAAAAAAAGGAGAAAGGTTTTCAGAGACGGATGAAATATTACATAATCAGCTTTAGGGAGTATATGAGGAAAAAATACTAGTAAAATTTACACTAAATAGCACTAAAACTTATATATTTCCCCAATGTAACACTTTAATTTTTTTATTCACTAAATAATACTTAAATAATGTCTAGTGGCGGAAACAATGTTCAGTGATGGTGGACATTTAGCTAGAACAATGTCTAATGGTGGTGGACATTTACTACTTGAATATTGATCAATGGAATTGAACAGTGGTACTACATTGTAAAATAAAAACATATGGTACTACATTGGAAAAATCACTATGCTTTAGTACTATTTAGGTAATATCCCCAAAGTATTATGTCATATTTGGCATAAAGTACCGTTTCTGAAATAGTTTTTAAAAATTTAGAATCATTTATGTACTCGTAATATTTTAGAGAGTAATTCCATAAAAGGTCTCCCGTTATAGGTCGTTTTACATATTTAGTCCCTACATATCAAATATTACTAATTTAGTCCCTATTTATTAGATTCATTTTCACGAATGGTCCTTTATTAACATTTTTATTAAGAACGTGGATAAAATTGTAAATTCATACTCCTTTCTCTCCTCAATTAAGCTTCCTCCCTCCTCTCGTACTCTTTCCCAAACTCCTCGTTGAGTTTGAAACACTAAACCCAAAACTGAAATGATCACTCCTCTCTCAATTATCCTAAAATCAAAACCAATAAGCTTTATGGATGAGTTTTATCGGTTAGTCTTAAGAAATTGCAAATAAAATAAACATTAAAACTCATCCATGAAGGTTACTGGTTTCAAATTTAGTTCCACCAGTTCGACAAACAATTAGAGAAGAGTGATGATTTCGGTTTTGGGTTCAAAGCTTCAAACTCAGCGACGTGTTTGGGAAAGGAGTACGAGGGGAGAGAGGAAGCTTAATTGAGGAGAGAAATGAGTGTGAAGTTACAATTTTATCCACGTTCTTAACGAAAATGTTAACAAAGGACCATTCGTGGAAATGAATCTAAATAATTGGGGACTAAATTAGTAATATTTGATATGTATGGACTAAATATGTAAAACGACCTATAACTGGGCCGGGGAGCTTTTATGGAATTTACTCTATTTTAGAATTGAGGATAAAATATAAAAATACATATAATTAGAGACTATTTTGATAGAATTTAGGATGAGATAGGGAAAACTGGATTGGGTAATAAGACATTTGAGCTGAACCACATTAAAAGATTAAATCCAATAGATTAGTTAGTTCAACTCATGAGCTTATATACCGATTATTTTAACTCTTGAACTTTCGATGTGGGATATTTTGACTCGACAAAGGATTGCATGTGTAGAAACTATGAACTTTATGAACCAGCTGGTACCGTAGATATCCGATTTCATATGATGACATTACATTCTTATGTAAAAAAACCTTGGTAAATTTAATTCAAATTTATTTCTCTTGAAATATAATTATAAGGTATTATATTTTTATAAAATATTTATGTATAAACGTAAATATCAACGGTCAAAATATCACTCTAAAGATCGTGTAAAGCGAATAAAAAACTTATTTTAAGATGGAATAGGGATGATTTAATTTGTGTAATGATCTTATTCCAAGTATTGCATACATATATATACTAGTAAATGATATTTTTTGTTTAATTTATTTGATTTTAGATACTCATTTTGCAAAGGAATTGCAACCACTTTTGAGCTACAATGACGACTTCGATCATGGGTCATCCATTAATACTTCATTCCAAGTTGTATTGGTAGAAAATATTGAAAATTCCCTTTCTATTATTAAAATTATATTGTGTTAAAATTTTGGTGGATCGAAAACGTACAACGGGTGGAATATCAGATAAAAGTAACTAACTTGCATATAAAGTCGGAAACCACTATTCTAACACAAAAGCTTAAGCTTTGTTTGGAAAAAACGTTTTGGATAAAATTTTATCTGATATTCCACCCGTTGTACGCTCATGCCAAACGGGGCTAAGATAATAGGTAGAGCATCACTCTTCTATATATATGCTAGTTGTATTCTTATTTATTTTTAGGTGTGGGAACTCTAACATATTGCAAATAAAATACTTAGATCAATTTTAAAAATAAAATAAAGACAGAGCCAGCCACATTTTAAAGTAAAACATAAAAGAAAATACACATGTTAACATACTTACATACTTCTCAATGTTAGAGTGCTTCCCGCATCGAAAGTTCAAGAGTAAAATAACCAGTATATAAGCTCTGATACTGTTAGAGTACATCTCACATCGGAAATCCAAGAGTAAAATAATCGGTATATAAGCTCTAGAGTTGAGGAAATTAATCGATACCATATACCCATTATTTTTTCTTCACACTTTTCTGATGTGGGATATTCTTTAACAATTGCTTAGTCCACTAGTCCCGATAACCAATAATGTGAAAGCATCCATTTATATCGATCATGACCCACTGATCAGGCCCGTCAATCCACAATGCTTACACTAATAGTTTGGCTTAAGAAATTAAGAATCAAAAGAAAAGATAATAAATTTTTCTCGATTTCCTCACTAAAATGAGAAAATCTTTACTTAGTGAATTTATCTAAATAGGACTAAAACATAATGA